TCTAAGACTAACGTTTCTGAAATAGGGAATGGCAAGCTGAATGCCAGTTGTCCTGGGAATAAACTCTTAGAAGATTCCACATTTGAGAAGCAGGGGAGGGGAGTGATGATCACACAGGCAGGCTCCAACACTGGGGAAGATAACTCATGCTAACCTGCAGCAGCCTTTCTGGTTTGGTTGGTGTAAGTCTTTTAAGACACGATGTACATTTGTCTTATGAAGAAAACGATAGCATTACTATTTCACTTGTTTGATAAAACAATTTTTCTCCAAAAAGATTTCAACTATACGCTATATACAGATGATATGATTGTCCTCACTTTCTCAAAATCTACCTTGTCATCCACCAAAGCACTCTCAGATAGTACAAAGTGAAAGCTTTTACACAGTTTTAAAGATCATTGTTTAAAGCCCTGCAAGGATCTGCAGCATCCAATGCACTTTAAGTTTTGGTCCCTGTCCTCTTCTGCACCTGCTGGTCCTGCAATACCGAACTATGTGCATGGCCCTGCCTGAACCTTAGTGATGCATGCCCCTGTGCTTCCACATGTGCAGTGCCCTTTGCCTCAGACACTGTCCCTTTCCTCCTGGCCATATGACAGAGGCATACGCATCCTCCAAGTCACAGTTTGATCATGTTTGTGGTGCCTTTCCTGCATATCTATAATGAATCTGGGGGAACCTTTTCAGCATGCCCCTGCAGCCTAAGAGCAATTCCACTGTGCAGATGGACTTTCGAGTCTAGACTTGTCTGGAGACCTAATCACTTAGCTTCATTTCGTGTGTGTGTATATGTGCACATGCATGTGCACGCACGTGTGTGTGTATGAGTGTGTGTGTGTGTGTGTATGTATAGGCTGCCCATTCAAAGTCTACTTCAAAGAAAGAATTCTGCTGTCTTGACTAGTCAGTGGGGATGTTGTGCAGATGAAGGAGACTTCGGAAATCTTATGGCCCTGTCTGACTGTACAGTAAGTGATAAGGACTGCTGTAAGCACTGCGTTTCTGTTGCTCTAGGGAAGGCTTCTAACACACTAGCTGGTTTGAAGGCAGCAGGAGTTTAGCAGGCAGGTGAGTTTTAGAAAGTCTTTCCAGAGAGAAGGGTTTGCATGTGCAAAGAATTCTTGCTTTGAAGCAGACTTTGAATGGGCGGCTTACACACACACACACACACACACACACACACACACAAAAGAAATGAAGCCAAGAGATTAGTCTAGACTTGAAAGTTTATCTTTGCTAACCTGTTTCAGAAACTCAACCAAGTAACTGTATCTAACTCTGAAAGGGTCCATAGAGATGTGGGTTCAAATCCCAGCTCATTCATTTAATATCAGTTTCCTTACTTGAAAAACAGGCCATACTAAAAACCTAAATTTCTTGTGAATATTACATGATTTATAAATATTTAATATTTAATAAATATTTCATTTTCTCCCTGAATAGAAAGTACATAAAGATGAGTGTTTTACATATGCATAGTGCATATGTGCCTGTACACGTACACATACACATGTACACACATGTGCGCAATCCATTTCAGAACCACACATTGACATTTTAACACCCTGAAAGCAGAACTATCCCCTCCCTCTTATTCACATCAAAGGAACATGCCCAAACTGTTAGTTCCAATTTGGGAACTTTAAAGAACAGATAGAATGTTGGCTCTAACATCTATCTCTACTGCTTTTAAATCATACTTGTGAAAGACACATTTACAAGCACTGTGACATCTCATTCCACCTTAGAAATGCCTACTCAGACTCATAGGCTGTCTGTATACGTGAAAGGACATGCTCAAGACTCCATTCTTTTCTTTTTCTTTTGTAGGTAATTCATGTGTCAGTAATACAAATGTTTAGCAAAACCAGAATGGAAGCATTATAAAATCATCCAAAGAAGTATGCTTTGGTTTATACATCTCTAACAATAGGATCTGACATCAAAGCATTCTTTATGTATAAATTTAATAAGTAATTTTTTAAGTGGTAAAACTTAAGGATCACAAGTATATCGAAAGCAAAATAAACACTTTAATTTATGGCTGGTAAGTTTGCAACTAGCAACAACTGTTTGAGACTAATTTCTCAAACCCAATAACTCCACTTTGGTGACTCTTACCCCAGGAAATAATCTGGACTTCTGGAGGGAATTTTGGGTGCCAAGTAGTTCATTTTGCTATTTTTATAATGTTGAAGAATCAGAAACAATCAAACTGCCAAAAATAATGAAATGAACCAGTGAACTGGTGGAATAACAGGACAGCTGTCTCTGTTAACACTATCCTCGCTCATTTGTTGTTCATAACTAGACGGTGAGCATCATGAGAGGAGGAATGCAGAAGACTCAACGAATGAGTGAGTAGGTATAGCCATGCATGCATGAATGCATGATGTAGAGAGACATGTAACAATATGGAAATATATATATATAATGCAATATTAGGTAAGACAACTAAAAAATGCAGCATTATAAATAGAGATTACAATGATCAGACCATACAGAGGGCCTAAAAATACTGAAAAAATAAACTAATGAATTAACTGACACAGAGTAACTTCTAAATAACTGTGGTTTTCCTTCTATATTTCTGTATTGTTTGAACTTTCTATAGTTAACAAATATTATAATAGGACCTATCTCTTGGGGTTCATATGAAGTTTAAATGCTTAGCACAGTGCTGAAGACAAAATGAGTTTTCATTAAACATTCAAAACTTTTGAAAAACGCTACTGTATTGTTTTGAATTAAATACGGCCCTTTATCTTCTCTCCCTCCACAATCCCCTACAAAATGAAGTAAAGGAACATAAGCATCTAAACCCACGAAGATAACCAAAACAGAATAAGGAAAACAGAAAATGCAAGGAGCAGATGGCAGACGAGGGACTTCAAACATTATTAGGTGAAGAATGGGAGATGGAGGCCGGTTTACTGACTTGGCAGAGAGGCACAAGCAGTGACCCAGTGCCTGCAGAAGGAAGCACCATCCGACCTGCAGCTCCCAGGCCTCTGGTGAGCAGGAAGCAGGTGCCGTGGAGGACAGGGGTTGTGTGTGACAGGAGGACAGCTGAAAATCTTGACAATTGTAACAGGATGCTGCTGTTGTTCTTTGGGGCTCTGTGGTGAACCACATTTCCATGGCCGTAATCATGATTTACCCTTGTTTCAAACCAAATCTTGATATTAATATATTTTGTGGATGGACGAAAATTGTAAAAGGGGTGATAAAAGAGACAGAGAGTTAAGTCTGTATCAATGCAAGAAGTGGACACTTCTGAAGTGGACAAATCAAGGAATAGTGGGATTACATGGGTAATTGGTTCCAGTACCCCTCCCACCCATGCCAAAATTCACAGATGCTCAAGTTTCTTATACAAAATGTTACAGCATTTGCATATAACTCATACACATCCTCTGTATACGTTAATCATCTGTAGATTTCTTGAAATACCTAATACAATGCCTACCACAGCTTTGTCCGCATGGATTCAATGTAGTGCTTGGGGCACGGCAAATTCAAGTTTTGCTTTATGGGATTTTCGGGAATTTTATTTTCTGATTATTTTTGACCTATGTGTGATTGAATACATGGATGTGGAACCCACGTACAGAGGGCCAACTGTCACATAGAAACACGGAGGCCAGGATGAGAAAGAAAGTAGTTAAAAGAGTGGAAAGGGGTGGCCACTAGGAGTGGGAGTGGCAGATGAGTAGAGATGACCTGGGGAACTCATTTGTTCTGCTTTTAGACCGCAAATCTTTGGGGATTTTTTTGATTATTTCAACTGGGTTTATACATTAACTTGATAAAATTCAAAATCAGTTTTGACCAAAATCTGGCTAGGACATGTATTATCTGTTTGGGCATTATCTATCTTGGGCATCCTAATCTAAGCCCTACTCCTCCCTCTGTGACATGACAATAACACCACCACCCCACAATATTTCAGGAAGCTAATACCTATTGTACATGCAAGGTGCTTAGCATACACAGTCTCTATAGAAGGCTCAAAAACTTTTTATATAATGTGTTCTCCAAAGTTAGCTATTTTAACTGACTGAGCGAAACTAATAATATAGACGGGTAAAAGACAATTCATACTTTTAGCCACAGCCTTGGCTTTAAATAATTTCCTCCTACATGAGCTGTATTTTGTCTCTCCAGCCAGGGCCATAATGGCCATAATGACAGATGTCTAGGGCCCCTTAGACATCATGTCACAGGACAGGAATTAACATCGCTTGGGTTCTTGGCTAAGCAATGTTTGGAGCCCTGGCTGGGCCTCTCAATTCCTGACAAAGGGAAGCAGAAAAGGGGACGGTGCAGTGAGGTCTCTGTTGTCCTGACTCTTCCACCTCACCCCCATCTAGAGCATACAGATGTCCCCACTGCACCCAACCTCTCTGCACTTCCTGCTTCCTTGTATCAGATACAACCTGTCTGTGGGATGGGTCAGTGGGACGTGCAGGGGGAAGGGCAGCCTGGGTCCAGGCTATGCTACTGGGCTTCTCGGCACCTGGGCTCCTGGACTCAGGGCCAGTGTTTCATCATTAGATGCCACAGTGCTACCCAGGATGGCCAGAAACTATAAGCTCCAACTCTTTTGCACTAATAATGAGTTGACTTCTTTCCTTTTTTGGCTATAAATAACACCATTCTTGACACTGTCTTAGGATTGTGTGTATCCAGTCATTACTTGACAGGGTGAAATAATCCTTAAAACAAAAACTGGGAGAACCAGACTTAAGTCCCACTCTGCTTTAACCAGCCACATTATTTCCACAAATAATTTCATTTCCACGGGTCAGTTTTCTCTTCTGCAAAGCAGGCATGTTGCTGGCACTCACCCTACTTATACATGTGTCTAATTCATGGGAGCTGGAGTTAATGAGAGTGTTGTAAGCTATAAAATACTGTACAAAAGCAAGGGGAAAGAGGAGACAGATGAGTGAGTGGTACGCTCATACAAGAGATCAAAAGGACAGTGAACTTACCTTTCTCGGTGAGAGAAGGCAGAACAACCGAAGGGCAAAAACTGGGAGCATTATTTAGAGCAACTGAAAAGAAAAAAGCAGTCTTTTAGTTCTTTTCTACCCCCTTGGTATCACTGAGTTCAGAATGCATTAATAGAAGTACAAGATGGTGATCATGACATCCAACTTAAGCAGACAGATGGTCCCACCCTGTATCGGTCAGGGTGGGCTGGAGGATGCTGAGCTAACAAACCATCTCAACATCTAAGTGGCTTAGAACAGTACAGGATCCCTCTCCTCGCACCACCTGCCTAACACAGATAGGCTGGGAGCTTCGCTCTACGTTATCCTCTCTCAAGGACCAGGCTGGAAAAGGCACCTTCTTTTTTTTCTTTTTTTTTGAGACGGAGTTTCACTCTTGTTACCCAGGCTGGAGTGCAATGAATGGCGTGATCTCGGCTCACCGCAACCTCCGCCTCCTGGGATCAGGCAGTTCTCCTGCCTCAGCCTCCTGAGTAGCTGGGATTACAGGCACGCACCACCGTGCCCAGCTAATTTTTTGTATTTTTAGTAGAGACGGGGTTTCACCATGTTGACCATGATGTTCTTGATCTGTTGACCTCGTGATCCACCTGAAAGGCACCTTCTTGCTCCAGGTTTCAGTAATTGCCATGCAGGGCAAAATGAATACAGCAGATTTCAGTCTTGCTCTTAGAGCTTTTGCCTAAAAGTGACACATATCACTCCTTTTCTCATGACATTGACCAAAGCTAGGAATGAGATCAAGGGTGAGGAAGTGCAGTCCTACCCTGTCCCAGAGAGTAGAGAGCAGAAACATGTGGGAAATAACACAAATGCCCGTCACTATCACTTACTGACTCTGAACTGGGTGAGGCATTTATCCTTTCTGGGCCTCGGTTTTCACATCTGTGCAATGAGAATAGCACTACCTACCTGGTGAATTACTATGAAATTAAAGGAGATGACACAACTTGTTATATTTGGCACTGTGTCCACATAAGATACAAGCTCGGCAAGTGCCAGCTGCTAATGGCAAAGCAGCACAGTATGGTGACAGCCTGGACTTTGAAGGCAGGCAGACCAGATATGGACCTCAAGAGACCACTTGGAAACGGTGGAGAGTGACATGTCCTCTAACTTCCTCTATTTTCAGTTTCACCATTGATAAAATGAAGACGATATAAAAATTAAATGAAGAACCCGACCCAGTATGTGACCCACAAACGCGAATTACCTTCTTCCCCTTTTCTTCTTTTACTGAATATATCTAAGTCTTCATCATTCCTTTCTCTCCAATGGCCCAAATTAGGACCATATATGGGACCTCCTTGCTCACGGGGAGCTGCGGCAATGTAGCATGGCCAGCAGTCAAAAGTAGGGGCTCCCGCGTCAGCAATCCCGGGTCAGTGGTTCCCAGCAAGATTGGTTTGCTGCTTTTCTGCTGTGTAACCTTGAGCAAATTACTCAACCTCTCTGTCCTCAGTTTCCTTGTCTATAAAATGGGCATAATAACAGTGCCTCTCTTAGGGTTGTGAGGTTTAGATGAGCTGATGCTGGTCCAGCTTTGGTCATATAGTAACATTGAATGCATCCTGTCTCTTATTCACTCTTAATGTTGTCCTTTAACCATAATACACTCTCATCACGTCTCTTGTCCCTGTGTGTCTCCATGAAAAGGTAGGGGTCAGAGTTATGCTCTATTCTGGTCCCAAAGTCCTTACGTGGGTCCTCTCACACCCACCTCCTCTGCCTTCTCCATTTTGGTCAAGTATACCAAACCCCAGTCTCTCTGGGTTCCAGAGCCTTCAATCCTACTGTGTCTTTTTCTACTTGGCATCATCGCCCTAGAAGCACCTGCCACTGTCATTCAAAGCAACCAGATCTCAAACTTTGACAGACCTCCAAATTACCTGGAGGACATGATAACACACACCTTGCTGGTCCCACACCAGAGTGTCTGATTCAGCAGGTCCAGGAATGGATCTAAGGTTTACATTTTTAGCAAGTTCCCCATTGCGGCTGTTGCTGCTGATCCACACTGAGCCAAGGCTTCTGTATCTCACGTTCTGGGAGTTCCTCATGTAATTCATAATTGCTCATAAGTACCCCCACGCTCCACTACACCCAGTTGGCCAGGCTGACACTTGTCCTCCTGTTGTCACTTGTTTAAAATGTCTGTTCTTCCTGGAAGAACCAGGAGAGAGTGCAACCAGGCTCCTGAGAATGCAACCTTCAGAAAACAATCTACCTATCTATATTGAGGGCATTCAAATGTCCACTCTTGGATCCAGTAATTCTGTTTTTAGAAATTTACTTTAAGCTTCTGAGTTGGTGAAAACACAGAGGTTCTGGGAGGGTGGGGCACCTAAAAAGGGTATAGAGGCTCCTCCCCCGGCCCCCTTGTCCTATGTACCCCTTCCTTTGGCTGTGTTGAGTTGTATCCTTTATAATAAAACTTTAATAGTGGTTTCCCTGAGTTCTGGGAGCTATTCTAGCAAGTTAGAAGGAGACCATGGAAACCCCCAATGTATACGGTCAGAAGTGCAGGAGCTCAGGACTCGTGACTGGCATCTGAAGTGGGGGGCAGTCTTCTGTGACCGAGACTTAACCTGTGGGGTCTGACTTTAACTCCAGGTAGTGAGTGTCTGAACTGAATTGAATCACTGGTCCAGAAGGTTGAAGAATTGGTTGGTGGCGGGCAGGGGGCAGGGGGCGGGGGGCGGGGGGGAAACACATATTTGGTATCAGAAACATTGTGAGTAAAAAACAGCTCCTACTTCCACTTCATCAGTTGTAACATATTTGCCAGCACAGCACTGCATGGGGTAACTGTAGGCCCCACCTCATCAGACTGTTAGGGAATTAAATGAGATACTGCATGTCAAATGCTAGCCTAGTGCCAGGAGCAGATTCTATGCTTACTAAAAGGTAAGAAGCTGGTGAGAGGATGTGAATGATGATAAAGAATAGCTTCTACAGTAAATGCTTCCTACATATGGAAGTTTCTATGTGGGTTGTAGAGACACATAATTAGAAGAATTTTTTCATTTCCTTTCCAGGTTCTTATACCTAGAATTTCAACAGGGTTCAAAAACATTTGCTCAGCAGAAGACAGGAACTGCGAGGCTTCAACTGTCTTTTCTAGACATCACATTCGACTTTGTAAACAGACCTTGCCCCACTTGCAGACAATGCACAGCTGCAGATAAGATGGGCAGCCCTAGTTCTCTTCAAAGAACAGAGAGTCCCAATGCCCCAGAGGTCCACCCCTTCCAGGAAGCCCTGGGCTCTGGGTACTGCTTAACCACAGAGCAGCCCCCCTTATGGCACACACCACCCGCACCTCACCTCAGCACTTACACCCTTGTCCTCTGGAGGCTCAGAACAGTTCCTCTCTGGGTCTACTGCCAGGAAAAGGCTGCAAACAGTCTCATTTGCATTCACAATTGCTTAGCCTGAGACTCTGAGGTTCTGTGCTAAGATGCATGAAACTTTCTGCTCACTTCTGAGCTCTGCTCATAGCAGAATCAGAAGGTCCATGGCTGCAGGTTCTTTGGACTCTCCTCTTGGTGCTCCGCTGCACTAGGTCTGTACTTTTCTCTTTCTGAATGCTGGGAGACCCTGCTCCGTCCTTTGATCTGTGACCACAGCCCTGAAAGAAGGTTATGTTGCAATTGTCCATGTGTGCAGTCCTCTGCCTCTGAGGCTGTGAGGTCTGTAAAGGCAGGGACATGCTACCTCCTGTCTACCTACTGCCTACGGCAGGTCAGTGCCACTGCTCTTCACCCCACTCCCCTTTCTCTACGTCCAGCTTTCCCCCAGAGTCACTTTTGTACACTCCCATGTAGAACAGAATTTCCTGTTCCTCCCTCATGCTCTGAAGAAGCACCCCCAACCCCCATCTCACCCCTGGGATCTCACTAGAGTAACACAAGCCACATCGTAGTGTAATTCTCTGGAGAGAATAATTATTTCTTAAGGATGAGGAGGAGAATAGCACCCTTCTCCCAGGGGCGTGTGAGTTGATACAAGGAATGCCTTTAGAATAGTGTCTGTATATGTTTGGAAGTGTGTCCCCTCCAAATCTCATGTTGAAATGTGACTTTCAGGGTTGGAGGTGTTTGGGTCATGGGGATGGATCCATCATGAATGGCTTGGTGCTCTCCTTGCAGTAACGAGTGAGCTCTCACTCTATGAGTTCACACAAGTAGTTGTTTAAAAGATCCTGGCACCTCCTCTCTCTTGATCCCTCTCTTTCTCTCAGCCTCACCATGTAACAGGTCTGCTTCCCCCTACCTTATGCCAAGAGTAAAAGCTTCCTGAGGCCTATCCAGAAGCTGGGCAGATGCTGGTGCCATGCTTGCACAGCCTGCAGGACCATGAGCCAAATACATCTCTTTTCTTTATAAATTACCCAGTCTTGGGTACTCCTTTATAGCAATGCAAAATGGATAAACACAGTATGACATACAGTAAGTGCTTAAGAATGGTCTGTTTCTTAAACATCTGTCTCCTTAGCTAGACAGTCAACCCTTTGTGGGAAGGCACTTCTACCCCCTGTGCCAACAAGCTGTTTGGCACATCATAGGAATTCAATAAATCTCAGTTCCTAATTGATTCTAATGGCAGTTCCTCAGGAACAGGGGACCTAGTGTGACATGATTTGGCTCTGTGTCCCCACCCAAATCTCACCTTGTAGATCCCATAATTCCTACATGTTGTGGGAGGGACCTGGCAGGAGATGACTGATTCATGGGGGCAGGTCTTTCCCGTGCTGTTCTTGTGATAGTGAAGGGGTCTCAAGAGATCTATGGTTTTAAAAATGGGAGTTTCCCTACACAAGTTCTCTCTTTGCCTGCTGCCATTCACGTAAGACATGACTTGCTCCTCCTTGCCTTCTGCCACGATTGTGAGGCTTCCTCAGCCACATGGAACCGTAAGGCCAGTAAACCCTCTTTCTTCTGTCTCCGTATGTCTTTAACATACCAGTCTCCAGTATGTCTTTAACAGCAGCATGAAAATGGACTAATGCATAGCGTTAACAGGCTCATAGTCATCACTCAGTACAGATGTCACTACACTGAATGACCAAACCACAGACCTGAAGCAAGGCCAAAGACTATTGTTGAAAATATTCAGCAAATTGTAAGAATGTTTGTCTCATGTGCCGGTGCTGACAGAGAGGTGAAGGAGAGGATCCCATCCATCCTGCAAGGCTCAGGTCCAAGGATTTCTTCCTCTAGGCAGACTTTTCTAGCCCCATAGAGTCTACTTCCTACTATTATGTATGTGATTATCTAATACAAAGGTAAGACTGAGGAAAAAAGTAATGGCAATGTCAGCTTCCATGCTGGGACTTTACATCAGTATACTGGTGTGGTTTTGTTTACTAGAGAAAATAGAATCCAAGACCATACTAATGTTTAGAACTCAACTAAGAAGTATGTTTTGGCTCAAACTATATCATCAATCAAAAGATGGTTTCTTTCTGGTCAACATGACCCAGCTGTGAGAATAATTTATTAAACTAGTCTCCTTAAGTAAGGTTCCTTTTCTCCACGTAATCCCTGGGCCTGAGCCTGGCAGGGTGGATAGGATCTTCTCCTTCACCTCTCTGTTAGCACTGGCACGTGAGATGAAAATTTACTCATGGCGGAAGGGGAAGCAGACCTGTCACATGGTGAGACTGAGAGGAAGAGAGGGAACAAAAGAGAGGAGGTGCCAGGCTCTTTTAAACAACTACTTCTCATGTGAACTCATAGAGCGAGAGCTCACTCATTACTGTGAGGACTGCACCAAGCCATTCATGATGGATCCATCCCCATGACCCAAACACCTCCCACAGGGCTCACCTCCAACCCTGGAGGTCACATTTCGACATGACATTTGGAGGAGTCTTAGGTCTTAGAAGGAGACAATCCACAAAGTCTTAAGACTTATCTCACCACTCACTTCTGTCTGAGGAAGACAACTTAAGGGAGAAAGAACCCTGTCCTTCTCTTCTGGAGAGTCACATCAAACCATGTCAACACAACCTTGTGACAGCCAGTCCTCCTCCTTCTGTTCTGAAATGAGAAATATGGAGCCACTCACACCAGAATGCCCATAAGCCATGTGTATCCCAAGGTATTTCTGCTCAGGGGCCATGGATGGAAGAATGACAGTCTGATGACATTGCAGCACTTTTTCTTTCTCTCCACAGGCACCCAGACACTGAAAGCAGGCAGTACACAGTATGAAAGACTACCTGCTTGGGAAGAGGAAATTGCAGGAGCTGGGCCTTAGGTCAAAAGGAGAGCCCATAGGAACCTTCCAGAAACATACTACCACACCCCCTCTATGGTTTCATTGTCCCCTTCAAAACTCATGTTAAAATTAAATTGCCATTGCAACGTTAATAAGAGGTGAAACCTTTATGAGGCAGAGTCCTCATGGGTGGGACAAACACCATTATAAAAGGGCAAGTTTGATCCCCGTTCTTTTCTTTGCTCTTCTGCCCTTCCCCATGGAATGAACAGCAAGAAGGCCCTTGACAGATGCTGGCTTCTTGATATTTGACTCTCCAGTCTCCAGAACTGAGAGCCAATACATTTTTGTTTATTATAAATTACCTAGTCTGTGGTATTCTGTTATAGCAGCACAAAATGGCCTAAGACACCTCCCAAGCACAATTTATTTCTCCTACATTCCCATGACACTTTATTGATGAGTACTCTAGTACTCATCTACTCTGCTATATTCAACCATATTTGCTCATATCTTCCTCACAAGTCTGTGTCTAAGGAAAATGAATATATCTTATTAATGTCACTTTCCACAGTGCACAGCACGGTTTATAGCTCAAAACAGACATTCAGTAAAGTTAAAAAACTTATGGTAAGATAGACCCAGCACCAGAATGCTTTTTTATTTATAATCTGTAACTCCTTCTTACACTGTAAGTGACTACAAAACACAAATCGTGGCTTATTCATGTTCAATCACACAACATAGTGTAGACTCAAAAAGACTTGTGTCCAAATTCTAACTATATGATTTACTTTCTGGTGACCTTGGGTAAGTGACAACCTCTCTGAGCCTCTATTTCATCATGATACATGGGTGTGAGAATTAAGTGAGATAATTCATGCAAAGTGTCTGGAATCTAGCCGGGTACACAATATGAGCCCAATAAATAGAGGTTATATTGGTAATGCCAGAGGACCCCCAGCTATGACTGACGCTCAGTCAATGTTGGTTAAATAAGAACCCCTCTGTGGATTTTTAATTCCCTGCTCCAAGTTTCTGGTCAAAACTCCTGAGTTGAGTCCCCAGACTGACCCCACAATATATATGCAGGAAAAAGTTAATGATCTACAGTCGGATGAAAAGAAACAGAACAGATGGAAAGAGTTGGGACAATGTGTACCTTGGTTCCTTCCCCTGCCAACTCCTGTCAAGATGTTGTAACACTCTGGTCTGATTCTCATTACTTCTGAACAAATGAATTACTTCTTAAGCTTCTTTTTACCCAACTCTTCCATGAGTAATACGAAGATGGAAAATGACATTTTTCAGACTTTAGTGAGGTGAGGAGGGGAGAGAACAGATGGGGCAAGGGGGAACTGAGAGTTGAGAGCTCTGTTCTGAAGTTCCCCAAATACCCAGTGCTGACATTGGGTCTCCTTTGAGGCCAAAGACCTGGGCAGGTATTTTCTCCCTTCCTCTATGAGTTAAAGCAGAGAAATTGTTATACATGGAACATCATTTCTTACACAGAAACCCACTGAGGATATTTTATTATACAATCCTGATGTTTTCCTAAAATAATTTCAGATGTTAAAGTAAAATAAAAAGCCAATAGAGTAAACTCAGATCAAATCACAGGATGCTGAAGGTGGACAGCAGCAGGAAGATTCATTCAAGAGTAATAATTAACTCCAGAAACATCTTCCATGAAGTTGAGACACACACAGGGAATGGGTAGGCTTGGGAGCAAGGGCCAAGGGCCAGATCCTGCCTGGGAGCTGTATCTGGACCTTTCAGGTTGGATATGGCTGTGGACCAAGGCACTAAACCACCAACTGGTTTGATTTGTTAGTTTATTCGTATTTGTTATTTTCAATGTATTAGTCAATTTCTTATTAATCAATTGAGTTGGAGGAAATCCAGTCAGAAAAGGTGTCTAGACATTTTTCTGTCATTTATGGGATGTGAAACACCTGCCAGAGGCAACATCATCAAGAGACAGAGAATAAGTTTAGGGTCATCAGGTCTGGGCCTGAAGTCTGCCTCTGCTTCCTACCAGCTGTGTGCTTTGGGTCAAACAATTCAACTTTCTATGCTGTGATATTCCTACCTTAAAATGGAAGAAACAATACCTACTCTGCAGGAGTATTATAAATAGTAAGTGATACAACCCATGTAAATTCATCATGGTCTGACACACAGCAGACATATGAAGAATGTCGTTTCTTCTCTCCTTGCCTACTTTGGGCAAAGTGTTATATTGAGTAACATAAAGAATGTTGAAGTCAAAGGTAGGAATATCAAAGACCCCTTCCAGATCAGGCAGTCCATGACTCTAATTTCTAGGGCAAATGTCAAGTAAGAGCCGGAATTCACCATATATTTACTCTGAAACGAACAAGGAAGCCACTAGTGAGAGAAGTTGAAACACTAAAACTCAGCTCAGCCTCTCTCTAATGTGACTCCTCCTAACTGAACACAGAGCGGTCCACCTTTCTGGACCTGCGACATCTTTGTGAATTTGCTTCTGGGACACGGGATGAAGATGTCTAGTTTCCATGTGGCTGCCCACTATTTTCCAAGGCTATCCGTACCACAAACACCTGGGATGTAAGTGGTGACAGGATCACAGTGAGTCTCATTTGCTCTTTTCAACAATGGAAAAACTGAGGAAGTGGTGTGACTTTCCTAAAGACAACCCCATAGTAAATAGATGGCAGAATTAGAACCATCCTAACATCTCCTTATCTGACTCCAAGAGCTTTTATGCCACACTGTAAATGCCATTCATTCACTCCTTCATCAATTTCAAATTGACCTTCTAAAATGCACCCAGCCAGGCATGGCGGCTCATGCCTGTAATCCCAGCACTTTGGGAGGCCAAGGTGGGCTGATCATGAGGTCAAGAGATTGAGACCATCCTGGCCAACATGCCGAAACCCCGTCTCTACTAAAAAAATACAAAAAATAGCTGGGCATGGTGGCACGCGCTTGTAGTCCCAGCTACTCAGAAGGCTGAGGCAGGAGAATTGCTTGAACCCAAGAGGCGGAGGTTGCAGTGAGCCGAGATCGTGCCACTGCACTCCAGCCTGGCACCTGGTGACACAGTGAGACTCTATCTCAAAAAAAAATGCACCCAGATATAATCAAGAGTCATGCTTTAAGAACCCATGTTGGGCCAGTGCTGCCTTGGCCCTGAAGTCCTAACTCTATATGCATTGCCAAATACACATTGGTTGTCCCTGTTTTCCTCCACTGGACTACCATGTGCTACACTGCCTTGATTGCCAAGGTAAGAAAACCAAGAGAATGTGCCAGAGTCCACTTCTATTGATTTTGCTTGTCCAGCAACAGTGCCTTCACTATTCTTTGAGGACCATCCCCTACCCTAGTGTATACAGTCTTGTTGGGACTGTCAAGCTGCCCTACTCTCCCTCTGGCAGTGTACTGACTAAGCCCAGGTGGGATCAAACTCTCCCCCTTGAATTTAAAGGTTGAATATAACCACTAAACTATATGAAGCAAATTAACGATGATCATGGCACACTGAATAAGTTGTCCATTTGTTCTTGCTACATATGTCCATGGAAATGGTCCATTTCCATCTTTACTGAGACCAGGTTGCTCATCCCTCCTTTGAGTCAATGAGCAGCCTTCCAATAAGTTTCTTGTCTGCTTAAGTTAAACAGAATCCATTTCTGTTGCTTGAACCCAGTGAATCTTGACTAAATCTACTCACCAATCCAAGAACATTGTCTAATGCATGGCTGGGAAATAGTTAACCAAAGGTGCTCACATAGCTGTCAAGGGAAAGCTACTTACTGGGCTTCTGGTACCATCCAAAGGGATAGGTGTGGACTTCAATGTCAGGAGAGCCACAATCCAAAATGCGCCATGCTCCTCCATTCTCCTCACTGCACATCTGAAGTCCCAAGCTGTTCAGAGTGAGGCATGTCACCTCTCCTCCTGGGGGAAAAAAAAGCAGGATCAGGAAAATGAGTACAATGGAAGAATCTAATGAATGAGAAAAATTCTGCAAATTCATTGTTCAGCAGATATTTGGGATACATCACTATATTTCAGACACTATCTCAGCCACTGCTGAAAAACCAGGTACCTGAAATCAAGGAGACTCTTATCTAAAATCAAAAGGATAGAGGTGGCTAATACTTATCAAGCACTTATCACGTACCCAGGGCTGTGCTAGGTCTCTGTTGGTATCATTTCACTTGGTCCTCACATAACCTTAAGAGGAAGGTAGCTTTGGCAGCCTTATATACAAAGAGGAAATTGAGGCTCAGGGAAATTAAGTAACTTTTCCAGAATCACACACTAATAAGGGAATGAACCAAGCTTTAAATACATATCCAACAAATGGACCCAAAGTTTGCCAAGCTGCCTAACCCAAGCACTGAAAGATGAACAAAAGCTGGGCCAAGAGTGGAAGGAAGAAATTTGGCCAGGCAGAACTGCACAGGTAAAGTGATGATCACGGGACTAGGAGCCATGTCTCAGCTGCCACATTTATTAGCCAGTTACCCTCTCCACACCCCCAATTCCTTATCTGTGAATGAGGATTACTTCTCTCTACTCATGTTAGTGGAGACGCTGAGGATTTGATAAGAGCATAGATGTGACTGTGTTTTCTAAACTGCAGAGTACTGTGCACAGGGGAGAGGGAGTTATTACCATTACTACCTTTTAATTGGGAAACATTAAGAAATCCAAAGCCAGTGCAGCATGGGTCCATATCACACAATCGTTCACATTCGAAGAACCTGGCATGAGAAAAGAAAGAGCAGGACTGAAGGCTTTCATTGGTGGCCCAGGACCTACTGGGTGGGCTGATTGCAGTCATTCATGCTTTTGGGGACCAGCTTTTTTATGACTACTTAAACTGGAGGTGCTTTGGTCAATGTGCATGAGTGGTTTCTTAGCTTTGAGGTTCATTCTGAAAACAAAATTCTACTCCTCTCAGGAATATTGTCATGCCATTAGTCATTTATTCACCCATTCGTTCATCATGCATATATTCTGTGCCTCTAATGTGGCAGGCTCCAATCAAGCTAACTCAGGATCCTAAATGTACTTCTTCAATCCTTTTATGTAAGCAGAAAGTCTCAGCTTTGGACTCTGGGAAAATAAATAAATAATAGGGAAGGTATTTCTAGAAAGAGGAGAGTCCATGGCCTTACTGTCAGGGTAAGGGGCCTGTTGAAGCAGCAGGAGCTGAGCCTATTCCCCCCACTCGCCTCCCCTCTTACTCACTGTGCAATGTGGATAATCACACTCTACCAAGGCATTTCTGTTTTCTGGCTCAGCCCATCCAGCCCGACTCTCTCAAGACTAACCTTCTTATCCACTCAGTGTAGCTACTAAGCCCCACCCTCAGCTTCTAGGGCCAGTCATGGCAGGAGGGACTTAATGGCTCCAAACCAATGTTCCTGGGCTCAGTTCCAAGTTCACATGCTCCTGTCTGATCACTCTTTTTTGAATCCTGAGAGCTTTCTAAAATCCTTGGTCCTTTCTTGGTGTGGGGTTCCTGCCTTGTGATTGCCATTCTCCTTCCCTGAACCCAAGTCACATCCTAGTGGTGACGCTTTTATCTGCTGGGCAGCATCTCCACTGTTGGCAGCATCTGTGCCCTGATGCCTGCAAGTCACCTCTCTGCCTTTCCATCTCCTAGTTCCCTGCCAACCTGCCCACTTACCACTTCTTTTTCCTATCTTGGAAGCTCATTTCTAAGATGCAGTCTGGACCACGCATTTTCCCCACCAGTTACATTTCCCTGAGTCTAGATGCACAATCTGCTCCCCTAATTCCCATCTCAGCTCCATGGTCAGGCTGATCCCTGGTTCCAACCCTCCTTTCATCCACCCTTCCCATCAGCACAGTGGTGTCCAGATGAATCTCAAGACAGACTAGCCTGCCTCACCTTTTTACCCCCATTTTCAAAAGTAGACCTTAAGCACCAGCAACATGATTTACTTTCACAACTCAAGAGCACTTCATAGATCAACGGTTCATGAATGAATGAATGATCCTTGAATTTTCAAGAATAAAAGAATTACCAGGGGAAGCTTCCATAAAGTTTGGATTCTTGAACCCCATCCCAGGAAATGCTGATTCAGCAGGTTCGAAATAGGCCCCAAGGATGCAGTTTATAAACAGGACCCAAGAATGCAGATCTGTGGATCTTACCCATTAGAATTCACATTCAGCTCTCCAGGTGATTCTAATGGGTAAGGTCCATAGACAATACTAAGACAGACATCATCTTCAATTAAAGCAACTAAATAATGACTAAGCAAATAAATTAATAATAAAATACATTTTTAAAATAATAAATTAAATGACTTTATGCCTATGAGTCTATTAAAATTTCTACTTGCTCTCCAGATTCTGAGTACTACAATGTGAGGTTCTGAGAATCAAGTTTATTACCAAACTTGATAATTTACATTAAATAATAAGATGTAGCTCAGTGGCTTTTTCATGACCACCTGGTAGTTCAAGGCTAAATACTGTGTTTACTTATCAGTAACTTACCTGAGCTAAGGTTTTCAGATATAGTTACCTCCTCATTACCTTTTACCCCCTTAGCTTTGGGTTTTGCTTCTGTTTCTGTGATTGTGTCATCGTCTTTAAGGAAGTATTATTAATAATAAATGTTAGGAGTGAGACACAAGTAGCTTACCCATTAGAAATAGATTTTTCAGACATGGGCACTTTATTTCTAATGGATAGCCCCATCAGTTTTTGGAACGGCAGGCGAGTGTAAAAGTTCTTCACTTTATCTTCCAGTATAACTACATATAGGAAGAAAGAAAATATATTACTTAGCGATTTGCTGTAGTCGGGAAAATACAAGGATGAATGAGTAAAACCCAGACTGAAAGTTTCCAATTAAAGGTGACATATTAAATTCATATTAACTCTCAGTTCCTATCCCAAATCTCACTAAAATGATGGTAAGTCCACAAGATAGATTGTTTTTTAAAAAGTGGGGACACAGCAACAAAATGTTGGAAGCTAGAAAATATGAGGAATAAAAATGGGTCTAACAGACCTAAGAAAACGACTCAACTTTCCTGTGGTAAGAACCAGCCTGCCCTCTGGAATCCCACCGGGTATATGTATGGTAGCCCTGGGGGTGAAGGTGGCCCAAACTGAAGTACTGGCTGGAATCTCTTTACGAAGCTATTAGGTTTCTAGATGCTCTCCTCTGCTCTCCGCAGCTGACAACAGCCCCCTCCCCATCATGGAAGAAGGTAGAAGGTTCATTTTCTCAAGGGGACAGAAAAGAGGATCTCCCGGGAGCATCAGGTATAGTCCATGGCATGAGCACTTCACTGGAAGCAGCAAATTCTTTTAAGTCAGCCTGCATAATGAATATTGAGATGTTCCCCACCTCCATTTTCCAAATGTATTTGGTGCCAAAACCACCAGCAGCCAGGCTCATACTCCAAGGCCAGATGTTGAAACTCCTCTGAAGGAGGAACCTAAAAATACTGGCATGAGGAATTCTCCAAAGGGCAGCTCAACTGGATTATCCCTCAGAGACACCTAGAGCCAACAAGCTCCCACCACACATTCGGGGCTACGCAGTCATCTTGTGGACCCCTTTGACATTCAAGTGGAAGAATAAATCGCTGGACATCTGAGAAAGGCCTCCAACAAAGAAGATAGAACAGTGAAGGAAGGGTGACAACATCCGGAGAAAACAGACTGTATGGGATTAAAAAGGATCTCCAAAAATATGGCATCATTAATGGCCTGGGAGAGAAAAGTCACTGTTGCTGACCTTCTCTGTAATATACAGCCAAATGGAATTCTGATACATGCAGTAAAGGCGGCTCTCTTAGGAGAGAGGATTATTTTCTAAAGTCAGTTTGATGCAGTTCTGACTGGCTTCATATCTCTACAAGGAACATCAACAACTTTACTTTTAAAACAAGAAGAAATTAGTTTTAAGTGTAAATAAACATTTTTGTTTCATTTTTATTTAAAACAAGCCCACTTCTGCATTGAAAAACTGCCCCCAAATAACCCTTTTTCATATTTTTTGTTTAAACTGAGACAATCACGCAGTGGTTTATTGATTCTAACCCTGAAAGTTTGGATCCCGTTTCCCATCTTCTTGAAGCCAATAAAAGTATAAAGAAAACAGTTTTTAAAGAAGAAAGTAATCTGGATATTTCTAAAACCACAGAGTCAGCAGCACATTGGAAATACAGTTTATGCAGATTCCTCCAAGTGCTCACCTTTCTTCCGGAACAGGGCCATTGGCCTCTGAGGCAGGATCAGTCTGCAGCCCTGGGGACTGGATTCCATGATATCATCACACACTTGTGCCTCTGGGTAGAGGGTGCAAGTGAAGTACATGGAACCATTGTCTGTTATTATCTCTGCGAGCTGACAGAAAGAGTGCTCCTGCACACAACCTATGGGGAACAGAGCAGTGTGTTTTTACTTCCTGTGGCATCTACAGGATTTTCTGGGGGGAGGCGGGTGGGAAATGCCTGGTAGAGATCCCTCCTAGTTAGGGCAGAGGCCTGAGACTGTCATGATCACCCAGTCTGGGAGGCCCATGCAAAAACGCTGGGGTTCTGCTAGCTGTGGAGAGGACTGTGTGCTCCTGAATAAAGGCAGAGTCAAAGGCACAAGGGGCAAATCTCAAACTCAGCAATACAAGAGGCAAAATAGTAACATTCCAGTGGATCCACCCATGGCCATCTCAGAGGGAGTCAGGATCTGTAGACAGAGGCCATGGGACTGTAAAAACTATGAACTTTATGCATGGTCTCCCTGCACCTGTGCCCATGTCAGCCTATGCCCCTGGTATATATGAGCTCCCCAAGGGCAAGAAACATGGTTGATTTGATTCATTTTGGACATTCTCTTTCATCTCTAAAATTAAACACAAAGTTTTGAACATAATGCATACTTAATAACTGCCAGATGGATGAATGGATACATGGATGGATGGATGGATGGATGGATGGATGGATGGATGGATGGATGGATGGATACATGGATGGATGGATGGATGGATGGATGGATGGATGGATGGATGGAGAGACAGGTAGATGAAGATAGGTCCTCGGAGCAGAGTAGAGATTAACTACACTGCAACCTTCTTGAAGATAGGGGTTATGTGTTATCTTTCTTTTATATCATCCATGGTACTAAGAGTGCAGTGATCCCTAAGTTATGACACAAAATTTGACCTTATCTGTTTCTCAGAATTTGCCAGACTAGGCCTGTGATGCCTGACTTCAGTGTCTGGAAGAAGAAGGATGAGTTTTAGGGATACTTACGAGAAAGGCACCACAGATTTGCCTCCTGGGCTGAAAACAGGTGTTTGAAAAGCCAGTGCTTCTGGATGGGCAGTGATCGATTTTCATTGACAATGACCTGGTCAAGGTCCACAGCGGAGAAAAGTTCTGTTGTCAAACCTGAAAAAGAAGCAGAGAGTCAACTTCCTTGACATTTATCTCTATAGTGAGTATGAGAAAAACACAAGAAACACACATGCACGCATGTGCGCGCACACACACACCCCCCGAGAGAGAGAGAGAGAGAGAATGAGAGAGAGAGAGAGAGAGAGAGAGAGAGAATGAGAGAGAGACAGAGAGAGAGAAAGAGAGACAGAGAGAGAGAGAGAGATTTTTATGCTGTGTGAAACCAGAGCAGGACTGAAGTCAGTAGATAGAGCTGGGGTTCTGGTCAGACAGGAATAGTTCAGAAGGCCCCAGGAAGTCCTAAAAACTATGGGATAAAAAAATCTTAGAATGTGGGTTTGGATAAAGTCTTGGAAGTTATCTGGTCCGCCTTTTCACCTGTTGCAGAAGTTTTCCCCTTGAGACTTCTGGCTAATGCCTCTATAGCTCATCATGACATCAGTGTACTGACCGCAGCAGCTCACCCCATCGTTAGTAAGTTGTATAGTTCTCTTTCTGTAACTTTGAACCACTGATCCTCTTTCTGTCTTCTGAAGTAACAAGGAAGTCCAGCCTCTCTCTCAAATGGTAGTCTTTGTCTATAAAGACAGTTTTCCACTCCGCTTAACCCAAACTTGAACGTTTTAGCTCAACCATTCCCTGAGTCTTTCTTCAGGTATTCACATGCCATAATCCCAGCTCTTCCTGGGGTCTCCACTGCCTACAGAACAGAAGTGCACGTTCTTTTCTCAATCTGGGCTCTACTTGCATTTTGAGCCTCACCTCGGATTGTGTGGATTTGCACTCCAGCAGCACAACAGTCCTGCTAATTCTAGCTCATCGCCACAATGGTTGCCGTCCCTGTGCAATTGCTCGTGCTCTTCCCTCTGTTGGCTCAAGCTCCATTACACCCTCCTCCCCCACCCAGCTTAGTGCAACTCGTGTTTCAAGGATCAGCTTTGCTCCCTCCTGCTCTGATGTCCTGTGACTCTATAAAGAGGTTCTATAGGGCCAAGGGCCCTGACATCCAGGCCCTTGGCCCTGGGGATAGCTCTGTATCCTTGGAGGGCTCTGACTTCCAGGGGGACATACAATGGTGGCATGAGGTATATCAGGGAGATGAGCCGGGGAATGTTTGCCATGTCCATCCATTCAGGGCTCTGTGTAAGAGGCACTATATCCCACATACACCTCCACTTTGCCGTGGACTTGAGCACTGCACTTTCCTTGTCAGTACCTGTCAGCAGCCACTTTCCACACTCCATAAAGCAGGCTCAAAAAGACTGAGCTTCTTTACTAGAAAGAATCACAGTCAGGATAAAGACTTTACAAGTATTTGAAAAGGTCAGAAATTTGATGCTGGCAGAGGCCCCAGAGACCATGTTACCGCCCCAGCCCTCATCTTACGTGATTCCGTAATGGCCAGTCCCCATGCCTGTCTCCCCACCGAACCATGCCAGGCACAAAGTAGAAGCTCAGGGAGATCACAGGTTTCCCCTCAAAATGGCAGTGTAAGAGAAGAGAAACAAGGCAGCAGGCCTGAAGGCACACCTGCTTCTGGAACCTTGGTACAGATGTTCCCCTTACCTGGAACACCGTTTCTCAGGTGTACCTGGGAGTGTCTGGCAGATCCTTCTGGCCTCCTCTGAGAAACCTTTCCTGGCCCCTGCAGGCTGCTAGCATTCCTTCTCCTGCATTCTCACTGCACTCGACACCCGTCCACATTGCACCCCTTACCACATTGTCACGCAGTGGCTGGCACATGGAATTCTCACTAGTCTATGAATGTTCAAGGCCACAGCCGCATGTGCTCAAAAATGTCTGTTCGATGAAAGAATGAATACTGCAGCCACTTCATCTTATGCCTGGTTTACATGCTGTATTACATAAAGCCATTTGCTGCTTCTTTTAAAACTGCACCAACCTTAAAAGCAAGGAGACCAACTGCTCTCGTTGGCTTCCTGAGTTTGTCTCAAACATTCAGACTGATGGCAGTAACCTGATACACAAAGGGGGAGATTCCTCACTGTCCTCTGAATCAGAGAGGCCATTCTCATGAACACTGAGAAGTACCGTCCAAGTAAACGAGCACGTGGAGACGCCACCCCGCCTGGACTCAATGCGATTTCTTCTCCAGACAGTTTATCTCCTTGAGCCCAGGAATGCAATCAACTGAGAAAGGGAAAACTGAGCTGAGCCTTGTCTATTCACCCTGACTCCCTCCCTTCAAGGTCTCCAGTGGGGGCCAAGCTCCCCTTCTAGGGGACAGGGTGGGGAACGTCCTGTGTGAATCATGTGAGTTTGGCAGACGCTGCCCTGAAGCAGTGTGTGATGATGGATTTGTCAGAACCTTCTCAAGTGCCACTAACTCGCACACATTTACATTGTCACTAGCTGTGTGGCTACCTTTCAAAGGCACTGCCAAATGCAAACACAATGCCTGATCAAGGAGGGGAGGGCAGGGTGCTGGGCAGTTTTTGGCATGTTAAGAACCAGGCACTGTGCCAAGTGTTTGCTATCTATTAGGATAAGAGGTAGAGAAGATTATTTTACACACAAATCCAGGGCTTTTAGCAGGGAAGCAAATTACCCATGGCTGTGCAGTAAGGCATGTATTCAGTGGCAGAAGTGTGGTTCAGGATCTAGTATCTGCTCTGTAATGTGATGGTTTTTCCCTTGCACCATGTTACTTCCTATGCTAGCAGTCTGCTCTGGCTATCCCTCTTCTTCTGCCCTTCCCCTCCTTCTTTCCTTCTGCTCCCACTCCTATTCCTACAGTATGTGCATGCATGCAAATACACACATGTGCACACACACACATACACACACACACACACACACCACACACTGCAGACCACAGGTGGTGTCTTGTCTCCTGGTCCTTGCTGAGCCTCTATTAAGCAGCTGATCTTCCTCTCTCTCTCTGAGTTTTTGCTCCACCTCAGTAATAATAATCAGAGACTGTGGAGGTAGAGAAGTCCCAGATAGTATATACGTACTGTTCCTATTTGTGTTTGGAGTCATAGCTCTCACTGTATGCCATGACATGCAGAAGATTCTCATAGACATTTCATTCATTAGACAATTTCAGAATATTTACACTTTGCCTATACTCTTCAGGGTTGAGGTAAGTGAAGCCCACTGGCACAGTCAGGCGAACCTTGCTCTGTTTCTTTTTTTTCAAGGTTTGTTATTATGGCTGTTTTCATTTCCTGTAACAGTGATGACTTTGCAATGATTTTGCCTTACTTTCTGTGCCAATTGCTCATCTGAGGAGTGTTCCATATTTATAAGCTGGATAATTGGGTTAGAAGATTAATGGAGATTCCATGGATACAGAGTAGAGTGATGTCAATAGGTTGGTTCATTGATTAAACTCCTGGTGCACATATTTTGTCTCTGCATTCAGATACCCAAGTGTGTAAGAAGGTTCTGGGGTTGGTACCTGTTTCTGTTGGAGATGTTGGACTTGGCACTGTGCCTTTTCTGCATCCCACAGACTCAGGCCGAGACCCCATGTCAGAATCTAGGAGGAAAAAAAAAAGAGTTGTTTCAATGTTGGGAAGAACGGGTAGTATTCCACTGGTCAACCAAATGGTAGTACCAATGTGAGAAATTCTCAGAGCCTAGAGCCAGGTGCCTGAGATAAAATCTGGAACAGATGTCCTCACATGTAGATCTGCAGTCTTTTGTTTTATATGGAACATCATCCAACCTCTCAATGACAGAATAATCATTGTCTGTGATACTGAAATTATTAACATATGCAAAGCCCTTTCGAGTTAACAATATATGCTCATAAATATTGCTGTTTATAACATCCTAAGTAGGTAGAGAACAAGATTTCCATAAAACCTGAGACTTAGGGAGGCAGAATAGTTTATTCCAGACTGCTCAAGTGGCCAGTAAATGATTTAGAAATTTTAAAAATTTAACCAAATGTCCAAGTCAGGAATAGGTCTTCCATGAAAGTGAGAGCCTGCCGTGAGGCAGATATCAGGCAGGTCTCAAGGCACTTCCCTGCAATGCAGCAAATGTCCTAGAGAAATATATGTCCTTCATCTTTCATCAGTTAACACTTTAATAGAAATGTCTGATAACTAGGAAGTGCTGGACGTGGGACATACTATCAGTGTCTGCTCTCAACCTCAGGGCCTCCCAGGCATCCCATGGGCACTTCACATACCCTCTCCAAGTCTCATTTTTCTTGCCTGGAAAATGAATAAAATATTACCCCCTCTTTAGGCCTACCTTATAGGTATAATTAAATGAGAAAAGAAGTACATAATCTAATTTTATCTCTTTAAAACGAAAATAATGGTAAACACCTTCCTTTTCTTTTTTCCTCTTCCGCCTCCTCCTCTTCTGCCTTCCTTCTCTTCCTGTTCATCACCACCACCACCACCAACATTACTCAGCAGGTATTGTATGCAGGGAACTGTTCAAAGCACTTTTCAGGCATTCCCGCATTATTGCTCAGGTAACTCTAAGATCAGTGCTATCTGTGTCACATGTCACCCATGGGGAATCTGGGCATGAGGGGCTGGTCCACGGGCTCCCAGTCACACAAGTGAGGACTGATGGCACCAGGATTCACATCCTATCACTCCAAGTCTATGCCTTCCTGCCCTTTCAGTTCATCAGCACAAGTCACCAATCCTCTCTCAGGACACTGAAGATCAGTGAGGAAAGATTAGGGGGACAGGATAAGGGTGATATGGGGTCAAGGGCCTTTCCTCATGCCTCTCACCCAGCACATACGGCCATGACCTGCGATGGGCCACTGCTCCATCTGCTCCCTCCTGAGGCTGGAACCCTTCAAGAGTTCATCTCTCTCCTAAATGCCATTCATTTTCCCTGGGTCTGAGTAGTCACTTGGTCAACATTCAGAAAACTCTAAGGAGGACAAAGCAGCAGAAGGGAAGTGCCAAGCACACATGTTGTCGGACTCTCCATTTCTCCCCACTCTGTCCCACGCACCCAAGTAGCATTATCTCTGAGCAGGAATTCAGGGCACTATCTGCCTGGAGTCCTGTCCCCAGTCCCTCAGCCTCAGGAGAAAGGCTGAGTCCCCTTGGAGAAATGCCTCCCCCTGGAGAAATGCATTTGCAATGGCTCCAAACTCCCCTCCTAGGAAAAAGGGTGTCTTGAGGTCAGCAAACTTTGTCTCGTGGGAACCTAGTGCTTCCTCCCTCTATCCATTCTTGGGTTTCCACAGCAGTCATTCTTCTTTTAGACTTTGGTATCTTATCTGATGAGCTGGAGCCTTTCTGTTCCACAGAAAGTATGCATTTGGAAAGTGACTCTCTACCTATTTCCCTACGGAAATGAGGTGCCCTGTGACTGAGAGATGGTGCCAGACAATCTCATGTAATCAGTGTCCTGCTAACCCCCCTCTTCCACTGTGGAGCTTACCTTTCCAGAGATAAACCTGCTGAAAATTGGTAAAGGTGCCTTGAGTTCCTTCTAGGGGTGTCAGACCTGCAAAGGAAGATGTTTATTTTTATGAGTTTGAGGGTGCTATCACTGTGTACCCATCATTACTGCAACAGCCCCATTTCCCTTGATGCTGGCTCTTCCTAGGCCTGAAAACTCTGTTTCCTACCCAAGGTATAACCCAGGAGCTTCTTGCAGCTCTATGGCCCAAAACCAAAGTTGGTCAGATGTCAGGTGTCATGTTCAGGGCACCAAAGGGACTACTTTCATGAGGTGTTGTGAACCTATGACTCAGGAGAGTCACTTAAGGAACTAGATATCGGCTTGAAGAAAGCAAAACTCCTGGGACCTTTGAGGGCTATGAGTTTTCCACATCACTTAACTCCTCAGAGACTCTTGCCTCATTGGTAAATGTGGACAGCAATTTCGAGAATGGGAATACTGTACGTAAACGATCTTCTGCAGTTCTCAACATTTGATAGGCAGCCACTTGGCAGCTGCCATGGCTCAATTGATTACTAATATTAGCAGGTTTTCCCTTCTGGCAAACTGTTCTCCCCTGGATGCCATTCTGGATGAGACTAGACTTGCCACACCATCTCTTGAAGGTCAGTGCTGCCTCTTTTGCCTTCGTTCAGTCTTCAGTTCCTTTCAATATCCCTGTGATATGGAAGATGGAGGAAAGAACCCAGAGAGCAGAGTCTGGAGGCAAAGAAGCCCTACGCTAAAGGAGAGAGCTGGCTGATAGCTTGAGATGCCAAGATATGATCAAACTTTGCTTTAAATTATCATTAGGAGGTTATGTTTTCAATATTTTTAAATTTAAATTTTATTTTACTTTAAGCTCCAGGATACAAGTGCAGAATGTGCAGGATTGTTACATAGGTATACATGTGCCATGGTGGTTTGCTGCACCTATCAGCCCATCACCTAGGTCCTAAGCCCCGCATGCATTAGATATTTCTGCTAATGAGGAGCTAGTTATTGATAAACAGTTATTACCGTTTATCCAGCACCAGCAGGGGTGTCTAAGAGAGAGAATACAGTCATGGGTTCTTAGTTTCTGTTTCTAATTTGGCCAGTAAAGCCCCTTCATCATCACTCTTTTTCGCTTATCACTAAAGACAGAAACTAAAAACCGTGGTGTCAGACTAAAAAACCTAAAAACAAAACAGAACAGAACAACAACAAACGGTGTATTGTACAAGCTTGCATGAAAATCCCCATCCAGTACCGAATTTAAAACTCACAGGTGTGCTGTAAAGTAAGGTCCCCGATTTCCAGATAAAGGAATCAAAGTCAAGAACGGTTCATGCAAGAATTTAGTCTTGTGTGTTTGGCTTCAAATCCCATACTCCTTCCTCAGCACCACACTAGGGAGAGGATAATATACAGCCGTGCATCTCTTAACAACCAGAATACGTTCAGAGAGATGCAATTTTGTTGTTGTGTGATCATAGAGGGCATATACATAAGCACAGATGGTCTATATACTTTTATTTACATATATTTTTATATAAAAAACAAAATGTCCTAGCATCATTACTGAATAGCAATCATTTCCCCTACTTAATATGAAGTGCCAGTAACAAGTGCTATGTATTAGGTTTCTATTATCATTCATTATAATCTTATAGATTAACCTTATAGTCCTATTCTCTATTATAGTCTAATGGGATAAGCATTACATAGGTGGTCCTTCATTGGTCAAAATGTCTTTCTGAAAACATGGCTGTACTTCAGAATTCTGTCCATCTGACATGGCAAAAATGTTAAATGTCGTTGTGTTTAAAGATGTCTGGACTGAACTCTCTGGAAAACTTGGCTATCAAAGTGACAAGTCCCCCCCAGGGCTGACCACATTCTAGGACATGGAGGTGAGCCAAAAATACTGCGTTGCACTTCCATCTGCTTTGACTTCTGAAATGGGAATAAAAAATGGTGCTAGAACTTTTCAGGCTTTGCAATGTTGGGATGTCTCTCTAAAGGAGCCACTCAAAATTCTGTTACGCCCGTCTTTAGAAAGTAAAAGTTATTTATAAAAATTTGGGCAAGTGAACACCTACGCTGTCTGAGAGATGTGGACTTGGCTCTCTGCAATTCCTGGACTTGTTCTCCACACTGCAGAGGAGACCTCACCATACACTCCTACTGCAACAACACAGACCAGTGGCTGGGCACCTGCTCAGTCTGTGTTCTGTGTTCACTCTCTCCTCATGAGAGCATCATCTGATTATTTCAAAGGTCAGGCTATGGGGCTTTAGACTTGTCACAAGGGAAATTAGATAATTTTTAAAATCTTTTTATACCCAAATCTATCGATATACTGATTCTGAAAGAAAGACTATATGTAGGTGTATAGAGAGATATATAGCTATAGAGATAACCTCTATGTTCATATAGGTAATATGTAATACGGATGTAAAGTGAATAAGCTTTTTAAAATACTTCAGGTCATGCATTACCATTCTTATTTAACCTGTAAAAGTTAAAGAAACAATATTTACCTCTAGAGTATTATATTGGTCTCAAGTCTAAGGCTGAAGCCAATGACCACATTAAGTAGTTTACCATGAAATACACTCGCAGTGACCTGTTTGAGATTGGAGACTAATGTTCTAAGTGAAATAACTCAGGATGAAAAACCAAACATCATACGTTCTCACTGATATGTGGGAGCCAAGCTATGAGCATGCAAAGGCATAAGAAAAATACAATGGACTTTGGAGACTTGGAGGAAAGGGTGGGAGGGAACAAGAGGTAAAAGACTATAAATAGGGTGCAGTGGATACTGCTCATATCACGGGTGCACCAAAATCTCACAGATCACCACTAAAGAACTTACTCATGTATCCAAACACCGCCTTACCCCAATAACCTGTGGAAAAATAATATATGCGTGTGTGTATGTGTGTGTGTGTGTGTGTGTGTGTGTGTGTGTGTGTGTGTAGTTTACTGTGAAATAATTTGGGGCGTTTTGGTTATAGTCCCTCAATACAAATACAAATTCGGTCACATTCCCATGCCTGCCCCTTCCTAAGAGCAGTAATCCTTAGGAAATGCCAAGAGAAAGGTCTTGACCTTTCAGCAGTCTCAGTGACTGACTTGGGGTGAGCTGGTGGTGTCTTTCACTCTGTCTGGGACTCGTACTTTTGTTGGTATATGTATCCTGCTTTACATAATGTCAAAAATGATAGGTGCCCCTTTTATCACCCAGAAACAAATGGGCACTTCCTGCAGGTGCACATCAGTTTAAGACGGTTTTTTTTGGCCCAGAATGTACTGAACTGTGATAGGAAGCAGACCCTCTTATATACTCTGTCCATCTCAAGGCAACAGAGCCCTGGGTCTGCCAGCCTGAGAAATATGCTGTCTTAAGTTCATCCTTGGTTTTTGCCTGTTTCAACACAATTTAATCCAATGCAATTCAACTAAACCTAGCACATGCATGTAGGGCACCTTTGTAGGTCCAGAAAGTCACTTGGCCAGCATCTACAGAGATTACTGTGTCCTGGGAAGCACCCTAGTCAATCACCACAAGGAAAGTTATAACCCCTCGGTGGTCTTCATAATTCATATGATTGCCAGGTGTCCATAGGAATACATAGAGAATACTGGGGTAAAAAAAAAGAATGTTGCCCATTCCCATCTCTACTTCCAAAATCACTTCCTCCTGCTTTCTAAATCAGTTAATAGGACCACCTTCTCAGGTTGTCCTTGGCTCCTCCCTCTCTGTCGGTCTCCGCATCCATTCAGTCTACTTCCTAAACTGTTCTTTACTCTTTCCTCTACTCTGAACCCTCCCTCTCAGCTCAGGCTACTCTCCTAACTTCATTAGGCTTTAGCTGATCCCTACCCTAGCCTTGACCTTGGCTTCCTCCCATCCCTCAGCCACACAGCCTCCAGGTATTCGTCCTGAAAGGCAAACCTACCTTTGGTCCTGCAGTAGCTACAGGGATGTTAGAATTCAGCTCCCTGCAATCTGGCTCATGACAGCAGAGCAGCCTTATGCTCTACTCTGTCTCCAAAGTGCCCACCTCCCCAGTCACACTAAATGCTTGCTGTCAGGCCTCTGCATCATCGGACGTATTGTTCTCTCTGCCTAGAATCCTGTTCTCTTTCACTTGATTGACCTTTACTCATTCTTTAAGAATCAGGTTCTGCATCACCGCCTTCTGAAAGGCTTCCCTGAGCTCTCCAGCTGGTCACATGACCCCCTCCTTTGAGTTTGCAGTACTCAGAGATCTTCTCTCTCTTCCCTCATGGCTGGTGGTTATTCTCCAGCTTCTTGGATACACTGTAAGTCCCCTCTTTATATCTCCCACTCCCCCAGCACAATTCTTGGCACAGAACTGGCATTCAGTGCCTAAGTAAATGCAGGGATAAATAAATGAGGGAAAACAAAACAATGAATTATACTCAGAGCCCACCAAATAAACACAGAACATCCTCCTCCCACACATAAGACAGTTAGCCCCACATTAGTTTTCCTAAACAGACATCTGACTCTTGACTCCATTCCCCAACATTTCCCTAATAGAATATTGATGACCATAAGAAGGTACACAGAACCCAAGCAAGCATCGCTCCTCCTCTTCCCTGATAAATGATAACAGTTCATTTCTTCCACAATAACTGAGTTAGAATATCCCTGCTACACACATCAGCCTCCAGCCCCTGATTCTGTGTCGCTGCCCCTGTGATCAAGGCTGCAGGAGCACAAACACACCGAGAACTTGGGGTTTGAGTACAGAGCCTGATTCTCTAGCATTGCTGAATGTCGCATGGTCTTTACTCAAAAACCTTCCGCGAGATCATGTGCTGCGTCTGTGGCAATCAATTTTAATCCACGCCCTCATATTAAACTGGGCAGGATCCTAATGGAAAAGTACATTCTAGGAGTGGTCACATGGCAGGAAAAGCTGCTGTCCAGGAGCCCCACCCTCCAGGAAGGAGTCACAGATACATCAACTCTTTATCCCTAGTTAATACCACCATCACCACTGCCACCACCACCACCACCGCCACCACCACCGCCACCACCA